GAAGTGTACCTATGATAAAAATTACAGACCTCTACATGCTTTGTAAGTAGGAAAACCTGCAAAATCGGCAGTGTATCAAATACTTGTTCTCCCCACTGTAGGTGTTCCTCTTGTCCAGGTGGGAAAGGGCAGTGTGGAGTGCAATAGAGATTGCATCATCTGTGGACCTGTTGGGGCGGTATGCAAATTGGAGTGGGTCTAGGGTTTCTGGGATAATGGTGTTGATGTGAGCCATGACCAGCCTTTCAAAGCACTTCATGGCTACAGACGTCAGTGCTACGGGTCGGTAGTCATTTAGGCAGGTTATCTTAGAGTCCTTGGGCACGGGGACTATGGTGGTCTGTTTGAAACATGTTGGTATTACAGACTCAGTCAGGGACATGTTGAAAATTTCAGTGAAGACACTTGCCAGTTGGTCAGCGCATGCTCGGAAAAAACGTCCTGGTAATCCGTCTGGCCCTGCGGCCTTGTGAATGTTGACCTGTTTAAAAGTCTTACTCACATCAGCTACGGAGAGCGTGATCACTTAGTCATCCGGAACAGCTGATGCTCTCATGCATGCTTCAGTGTTGCTTGCCTCGAAGCGAGCATAGAAGTGATTTAGCTCATCTGGTAGGCTCGTGTCACTGGGCAGCTCGTGGCTGTGCTTCCCTTTGTAGTCTGTAATAGTTTTCAAGCCCTGCCACATCCGACGAGCGTCAGAGCCGGTGTAGTACGATTCAATCTTAGTCCTGTATTGACTCTTTGCCTGTTTGATGGTTCGTCGGAGGGCATAGCGGGATTTCTTATAAGCGTCCGGGTTAGAGTCCCGCTTCTTGAAAGCGGCAGCTCTACCCTTTAGCTCAGTGCGGATGTTGCCTGTATTCCATGGCTTCTGGTTGGGGTATGTACGTACGGTCACTGTGGGGACGACATCATCGATGCACTTATTGATGAAGCCAGTGACTGATGTGGTAAACTCCTCAATGCTATCTGAAGAATCCCAGAACATGTTCCAGTCTGTGCTAGCAAAACTGTCCTGTAGCTTAGCATCTGCGTCATCTGACCACTTTTTTATTAACCGAGTCACTGGTGCTTCCTGCTTTAGTTTTTGCTTATAAGCAGGAATCAGGAGGATAGAGTTATGGTCAGATTTGCCAAATGGAGGGCGAGGGAGAGCTTTGTATGCGTCTCTGTGTGTGGAGTAAAGGTGATCTAGAGTTTTTTTTCCTCTGATTGCACATTTCACATGCTGGTAGAAATTAGGTAAAACAGATTTAAGTTTCCCTGCATTAAAGTCCCCGGCCACTAGGAGCGCTGCCTCTGGATGAGCGTTTTCCTGTTGACTTATGGCCGGGGACTTTAATGCAGGGAAACTTAAATCTGTTTTACCTCATTCAGTGCAATCTTAATGCCAGCATTGGTTTGTGGTGGTAAATAGACAGCTATGAAAAATATAGATGAAAACTCTCTTGGTAAATAGTGTGGTCTACAGCTTATCATAAGATACTCTACCTCAGGCGAGCAAAACCTCGAGACTTCCTTAGTATCAGATTCCAAACTCTCCACCATGGCCAAGACCAAAGAGCTCTCCAAGGATGTCAGGGACAAGATTGTAGACCTACACAAGGCTGGAATGGGCTACAAGACCATCGCCAAGCAGCTTGGTGAGAAGGTGACAACAGTTGGTGCGATTATTCGCAAATGGAAGAAACACAAAAGAACTGTCAATCTCCCTTGGCCTGGGGCTCCATGCAAGATCTCACCTCGTGGAGTTGCAATGATCATGAGAACGGTGAGGAATCAGCCCAGAACTACACGGGAGGATCTTGTCAATGATCTCAAGGCAGCTGGGACCATAGTCACCAAGAAAACAATTGGTAACACACTACGCCGTGGGAGGACTGAAATCCTGCAGCGCCCGCAAGGTCCCCCTGCTCAAGAAAGCACATATACAGGCCCGTTTGAAGTTTGCCAATGAACATCTGAATGATTCAGAGGAGAACTGGGTGAAAGTGTTGTGGTCAGATGAGACCAAAATCAAGCTCTTTGGCATCAACTCAACTCGCCATGTTTGGAGGAGGAGGAATGCTGCCTATGACCCCAAGAACACCATCCCCACCATCAAACATGGAGGTGGAAACATTATGCTTTGGGGGTGTTTTTCTGCTAAGGGGACAGGACAACTTCACTGCATCAAAGGGACGATGGACGGGGCCATGTACCGTCAAATCTTGGGTGAGAACCTCCTTCCCTCAGCCAGGGCATTGAAAACGGGTCGTGGATGGGTATTCCAGCATGACAATGACCCAAAACACATGGCCAAGGCAACAAAGGAGTGGCTCAAGAAGAAGCACATTAAGGTCCTGGAGTGGCCTAGCCAGTCTCCGGACCTTAATCCCATAGAAAATCTGTGGAGGGAGCTGAAGGTTTGAGTTGCCAAACGTCAGCCTCGAAATCTTAATGACTTGGAGAAGATCTGCAAAGAGGAGTGGAACAAAATCCCTCCTGAGATGTGTGCAAACCTGGTGGCCAACTACAAGAAACGTCTGACCTCTGTGATTGCCAACAAGGGTTTTGCCACCAAGTACTAAGTCATGTTTTGCAGAGGGGTCAAATATTTATTTCCGTCATTAAAATGCAAATCAATTTCTAACATTTTTGACATGCGTTTTTCTTTTTTTGTTGTTATTCTGTCTCTCACTGTTCAAATAAACCTACCATTAAAATTATAGACTGATCATGTCTTTGTCAGTGGGCAAACGTACAAAATCAGCAGGGGATCAAATACTTTTCCCCCTCACTGTACAGTTGAAGTTTACATACACCTTAGCCAAATACATTTAAACTCAGTTTTTCACAATCCCTGACATTTAATCCTAGTAAAAATGCCCTGTCTTAGGTCATTTAGGGTCACCACTTTATTTTAAGAATGTGAAATGTCAGAATAATAGTAGAGAGAATTATTTCTTTCGGCTTTTATTTCTTTCATCACATTCCCAGTGGGTCAGAAGTTTACATACACTCAATTAGTATTTGGTAGCATTGCCTTTAAATTGTTTAACTTGGGTCAAACGTTTCGGGTAGCCTTCCACAAGCTTCCCACAATAAGTTGGGTGAATTTTGGCCCATTCCTCTTGACAGAGCTGGTGTAACTGAGTCAGGTTTGTAGGCCTCCTTGCTCGCACACACTTTTTCAGTTCTGCCCACAACTTTTCTATAGGATTGAGTTCAGGGCTTTGTGATGGCCACTCCAATACCTTGACTTTGTTGTCCTTAAGCCATTTTGCCACAACTTTTGAAGTATGCTTTGGGTCATTGTCCATTTGGAAGACCCATTTGCGACCAAGCTTTAACTTCCTGACTGATGTCTTGAGATGTTGCTTCAATATATCCACATAATTTTCCTTCCTCATGATGCCATCTATTTTGTGAAGTGCACCAGTCCCTCCTGCAGCAAAGCACCCCCACAGCATGATGCTGCCACCCCCGTTCTTCGGCTTGCAAGCGTTCCCCTTTTTCCTCCAAACATAACGATGGTCATTATGGCCAAACAGTTCTATTTTTGTTTCGTCAGACCAGAGGATATTTCTCCAAAAAGTGCGATCTTTGTCCCCATGTGCAGTTGCAAACCGTAATCTGGCTTTTTTATGGCGGTTTTGGAGCAGTGGCTTCTTCCTTGCTGAGCGGCCTTTCAGGTTATGTCGATATAGGACTCATTTTACTGTGGATATAGATACTTTTGTACCTGTTTCCTCCAGCATCTTCACAGGGTCCTTTGCTGTTGTTCCGGGATTGATTTGCACTTTTCGCACCAAAGTACGTTCATCCTGAGCGGTATGACGGCTGTGTGGTCCCATGGTGTTTATACTTGCGTACTATTGTTTGTACAGGTGAACGTGGTACCTTCAGGCGTTTGGAAATTACTCCCAAGGATGAACCAGACTTGTGGAGGTCAACAATTTTTTTCTGAGGTCTTGGCTGATTTCTTTTGATTTTCCCATGATGTCAAGCAAAGAGGCACTGAGTTTGAAGGTAGGCCTTGAAATACATCCACAGGTACACCTCCAATTGACTCAAATGATGTCAATTAGCCTATCAGAAGCTTCTAAAGCCATGACATCATTTTCTGGAATTTTCCAAGCTGTTTAAAAGCACAGTCAACTTAGTGTATGTAAACTTCTGACCCACTGGAATTGTGATACAGTGAATTATAAGTGAAATAATCTGTCTGTAAACAATTGTTGGAAAAATTACTTGTGTCATGCACAAAGTAGATGTCCTAACCGACTTGCCAAAACTATAGTTTGTTAACAAGACATTTGTGGAGTGGTTGAAAAACGAGTTTTAATGACTCCAACTTAAGTGAATGTAAACTTCCATCTTCAACTGTATATGTATGTATATGTATGTATGTATGTATTGGTCCTCTGTAGCTCAGCTGGTAGAGCACGGCGCTTGTAATGCCAAGGTAGTGGGTTCGATCCCCTGGACCACCCATACACAAAAAAAAAATGCATGACTAAGTCGCTTTGGATAAAAACGTCTGCTAAATGGCTTATTATTTATGTGTCTGTATGTATATATATATATATATTTTCAAAAAATATATGGGGGATTGGAAGTGATGCAGACAATTACATTGATGGAAACTACAATCTATCTACAATATTAAAGCTGATCTACACCCCCCCCCCCCCCCCCCCCTTTTTATTTTATTTTTTATAATAAATAAATAACATCTATAATTGGGGGTGTATTTATAAAGTGTAAGTATGTATTCAATAATGTGTTAGATAAAAATGACCATAAACTTAATGGAACAAATTAAATTGGAATTCCCATTATACAATTCAAGGCCTCGCGCCATCTGTCAATCGTTACGCATTTCCGTGTCTGATAAAGTCCACTTCCGGATGTCAATACGCGGTGGTGGGATTGTAGCCACCGGAGAACGACATTAAAATCGCTCACAACAAGGAGATAGGAATCATTCTATCAACAACTGTGTCCCTCTCGGATTACCACAGAGTTTGAAAACCAAACCGGTCGCTGGTGGCGCCGACCTGTTTCAAGCAGTAGACGTATTTGGTGAGAATGGACGGGGCGATACGGCGGAGGGCCTGCTGTGATGCTGGCTGCAGCCGGAGCCGGAGCCTGAGCCTGAGCAGCGGGCTGGTGGAGGTCGGTGGCCGGGGCTTGATGCTCCAAACACTGCTCCTTTTCTCCGCGTTCGGCCTGCTCCTTGGACTGCCCGCTATCACCGATGCGAAAGAATGCGATAAACCGTGCATGAATGGGCAATGCAACACGGCAACGGGCAACTGTGTGTGCAGCCCCGGCTGGGTCGGGGACCAATGCCAACACTGCGGAGGAAGGTTCAGGTGAGAATCGCTGCCTACGACTGTTCTTACGTTTACCACCTATCCTTATTGTTTGAACAATCTAGCAACGTCGGTCCCCACCTTCTCTATTCCATCTCCCTCTTCTTCTGCAGAGCAGAGGAGAGACCTCCCCATCTCTGTCTTTCTGTCTCCCACGCCTGGCGCTTGATCATGACTCTCAGCTCCATTACATTACACATAAGTCATTGGACGAAGGCGTCTTCTGTAGGAGTTTTGTTTACATGGCCACTGCGAACTTTTTATCATTTCCAATGCAAGTCAATGGTACCTATATTAGCATTTTTGCGCTTCATATCCAAATAATCTATAAGTAACATAATTGAGTTACACAATGACTGTCCTTACTGTCCATGTTAATGGTGGCTAGCTGACCGTCCATGGTAATGGGGGCTAGCTGACTGTCCTGACTGTCCATGGTAATGGGGGCTAGCTGACTGTCCTGACTGTCCATGGTAATGGGGGCTAGCTGACTGTCCATGGTAATGGGGGCTAGCTGACTGTCCTGACTGTCCATGGTAATGGGGGCTAGCTGACTGTCCTGACTGTCCATGGTAATGGGGGCTAGCTGACTGTCCTGACTGTCCATGGTAATGGGGGCTAGCTGACTGTCCTGACTGTCCATGGTAATGGGGGCTAGCTGACTGTCCATGGTAATGGGGGCTAGCTGACTGTCCATGGTAATGGGGGCTAGCTGACTGTCCTGACTGTCCATGGTAGTGGGGGCTAGCTGACTGTCCATGGTAACGGAGGCTAGCTGACTGTCCATGGTAACGGAGGCTAGCTGACTGTCCTGACTGTCCATGGTAGTGGAGGCTAGCTGACTGTCCATGGTAATGGAGGCTAGCTGACTGTCCTGACTGTCCATGGTAATGGGGGCTAGCTGACTGTCCATGGTAATGGAGGCTAGCTGACTGTCCTGACTGTCCATGGTAATGGGGGCTAGCTGACTGTCCATGGTAATGGGGGCTAGCTGACTGTCCTGACTGTCCATGGTAATGGGGGCTAGCTGACTGTCCATGGTAATGGGGGCTAGCTGACTGTCCATGGTAATGGGGGCTAGCTGACTGTCCATGGTAATGGGGGCTAGCTGACTGTCCATGGTAATGGGGGCTAGCTGACTGTCCGTGGTAATGGAGGCTGGCTGACTGTCCTGACTGTCCATGGTAATGGAGGCTAGCTGACTGTCCGTGGTAATGGAGGCTGGCTGACTGTCCTGTCCATGGTAACGGAGGCTAGCTGACTGTCCATGGTAATGGGGGCTAGCTGACTGTCCTGACTGTCCGTGGTAATGGGGGCTAGCTGACTGTCCGTGGTAATGGGGGCTAGCTGACTGTCCGTGGTAATGGGGGCTAGCTGACTGTCCGTGGTAATGGGGGCTAGCTGACTGTCCGTGGTAATGGAGGCAGCTGACTGTCCGTGGTAATGGAGGCTAGCTGACTGTCAGTGGTAATGGAGGCTAGCTGACTGTCAGTGGTAATGGAGGCTAGCTGACTGTCAGTGGTAATGGAGGCTAGCTGACTGTCAGTGGTAATGGAGGCTAGCTGACTGTCAGTGGTAATGGAGGCTAGCTGACTGTCAGTGGTAATGGAGGCTAGCTGACTGTCCAGTGGTAATGGAGGCTAGCTGACTGTCCGTGGTAATGGAGGCTAGCTGACTGTCAGTGGTAATGGAGGCTAGCTGACTGTCAGTGGTAATGGAGGCTAGCTGACTGTCAGTGGTAATGGAGGCTAGCTGACTGTCAGTGGTAATGGAGGCTAGCTGACTGTCAGTGGTAATGGAGGCTAGCTGACTGTCAGTGGTAATGGAGGCTAGCTGACTGTCCGTGGTAATGGAGGCTAGCTGACTGTCAGTGGTAATGGAGGCTAGCTGACTGTCAGTGGTAATGGAGGCTAGCTGACTGTCCGTGGTAATGGAGGCTAGCTGACTGTCCGTGGTAATGGAGGCTAGCTGACTGTCCGTGGTAATGGAGGCTAGCTGACTGTCCGTGGTAATGGAGGCTAGCTGACTGTCCGTGGTAATGGAGGCTAGCTGACTGTCCGTGGTAATGGGGGCTAGCTGACTGTCCGTGGTAATGGGGGCTGGCTGACTGCCCATGGTAATGGGGGCTAGCTGACTGTCCTGACTGTCCATGGTAATTGAGGCTAGCTGACTGTCCATTGTAATGGAGGCTAGCTGTCTGTCCTGATTGTCCATGGTAATGGAGGCTAGCTGACTGTCAGTAGTAATGGAGGCTAGCTGACTGTCCGTGGTAATGGAGGCTAGCTGACTGTCCGTGGTAATGGAGGCTGGCTGACTGTCCGTGGTAATGGGGGCTGGCTGACTGTCCTGACTGCCCATGGTAATGGGGGCTAGCTGACTGTCCTGACTGTCCATGGTAATTGAGGCTAGCTGACTGTCCATTGTAATGGAGGCTAGCTGTCTGTCCTGATTGTCCTTGGTAATGGAGGCTAGCTGACTGTCCTGACTGTCCATGGTAATGGAGGCTGGCTGACTGTCCTGACTGTCCATGGTAATGGAGGCTAGCTGACTTCCATGGTAATGGAGGCTAGCTGACTGTCCTGACTGTCCATGGGTAATGGAGGCTAGCTGACTGTCCTGACTGTCCTGGTAATGGAGGCTAGCTGACTGTCCATGGGTAATGGGGCTAGCTGACTGTCCTGACTGTCCATGGTAATGGAGGCTAGCTGACTGTCCATGGTAATGGAGGCTAGCTGACTGTCCTGACTGTCCATGGTAACGGAGGCTAGCTGAATGTCCATGGTAACGGAGGCTAGCTGACTGTCCATGGTAATGGAGGCTAGAGCCTGACTTGTCCTGACTGTCCATGGTAATGGAGGCTAGCTGACTGTCCATGTAATGGAGGCTACTGCTGTCCTGTCCATGGTAACGGAGGCTAGCTGCTGGTCCATGGTAATGGAGGCTAGCTGACTGTCCGACTGTCCATGGTAATGGAGGCTAGCTGACTGTCTGACTGTCCATGGTAATGGAGGCTAGCTGACTGTCCATGGTAATGGAGGCTAGCTGACTGTCCTGACTGTCCATGGTAATGGAGGCTAGCTGACTGTCCTGACTGTCCATGGTAATGGAGGCTAGCTGACTGTCCATGGTAACGGAGGCTAGCTGACTGTCCATGGTAACGGAGGCTAGCTGACTGTCCATGGTAATGGAGGCTAGCTGACTGTCCTGACTGTCCATGGTAATGGAGGCTAGCTGACTGTCCTGTCCATGGTAACGGAGGCTAGCTGACTGTCCATGGTAATGGAGGCTAGCTGACTGTCCATGGTAATGGAGGCTAGCTGACTGTCCTGACTGTCCATGGTAATGGAGGCTAGCTGACTGTCCATGGTAATGGAGGCTAGCTGACTGTCCTGACTGTCCATGGTAATGGAGGCTAGCTGACTGTCCTGACTGTCCATGGTAATGGAGGCTAGCTGACTGTCCATGGTAATGGGGGCTAGCTGACTGTCCTGACTGTCCATGGTAATGAAGGCTAGCTGACTGTCCTGACTGTCCATGGTAATGGAGGCTAGCTGACTGTCCATGGTAATGGAGGCTAGCTGACTGTCCTGACTGTCCATGGTAATGGAGGCTAGCTGACTGTCCTGACTGTCCATGGTAATGGAGGCTAGCTGACTGTCCTGACTGTCCATGGTAATGGAGGCTAGCTGACTGTCCATGGTAATGGAGGCTAGCTGACTGTCCTGACTGTCCATGGTAATGGAGGCTAGCTGACTGTCCATGGTAATGGAGGCTAGCTGACTGTCCTGACTGTCCATGGTAATGGAGGCTAGCTGACTGTCCTGACTGTCCATGGTAATGGAGGCTAGCTGACTGTCCATGGTAATGGAGGCTAGCTGACTGTCCTGACTGTCCATGGTAATGGAGGCTAGCTGACTGTCCATGGTAATGGAGGCTAGCTGACTGTCCTGTCCATGGTAACGGAGGCTAGCTGACTGTCCATGGTAATGGAGGCTAGCTGACTGTCCATGGTAATGGAGGCTAGCTGACTGTCCTGACTGTCCATGGTAATGGAGGCTAGCTGACTGTCCTGTCCATGGTAACGGAGGCTAGCTGACTGTCCATGGTAATGGAGGCTAGCTGACTGTCCTGACTGTCCATGGTAATGGAGGCTAGCTGACTGTCCTGACTGTCCATGGTAATGGAGGCTAGCTGACTGTCCATGGTAATGGGGGCTAGCTGACTGTCCTGACTGTCCATGGTAATGAAGGCTAGCTGACTGTCCTGACTGTCCATGGTAATGGAGGCTAGCTGACTGTCCATGGTAATGGAGGCTAGCTGACTGTCCTGACTGTCCATGGTAATGGGGGCTAGCTGACTGTCCTGACTGTCCATGGTAATGGAGGCTAGCTGACTGTCCTGACTTTCCATGGTAATGGAGGCTAGCTGACTGTCCATGGTAATGGAGGCTAGCTGACTGTCCTGACTGTCCATGGTAATGGAGGCTAGCTGACTGTCCATGGTAATGGAGGCTAGCTGACTGTCCTGACTGTCCATGGTAATGGAGGCTAGCTGACTGTCCATGGTAATGGAGGCTAGCTGACTGTCCTGACTGTCCATGGTAATGGGGGCTAGCTGACTGTCCTGACTGTCCATGGTAATGGAGGCTAGCTGACTGTCCTGACTGTCCATGGTAATGGAGGCTAGCTGACTGTCCATGGTAATGGAGGCTAGCTGACTGTCCATGGTAATGGAGGCTAGCTGACTGTCCATGGTAATGGAGGCTAGCTGACTGTCCATGGTAATGGAGGCTAGCTGACTGTCCTGACTGTCCATGGTAATGGGGGCTAGCTGACTGTCCATGGTAATGGAGGCTAGCTGACTGTCCATGGTAATGGAGGCTAGCTGACTGTCCTGACTGTCCATGGTAATGGGGGCTAGCTGACTGTCCATGGTAATGGATGCTAGCTGACTGTCCTGACTGTCCATGGTAATGGGGGCTAGCTGACTGTCCATGGTAATGGAGGCTAGCTGACTGTCCTGACGGTCGTGTGTCTGTTGGTGTAACTCGTTATTCGGAACCTGTTCTGCGGGCAGGCCTGCCGGTTCGGAACCTGTTCTGCGGGCAGGCCTGCCGGTTCGGAACCTGTTCTGCGGGCAGGCCTGCCGGTTTGGACTAGATGCAGTACAGGAGAAGTTACTTTTCATAGCAGGTTAGGAGATTTAGAACAGCCTTCATTTCCATTAATGCGATTCTGCGTCTGTCTGTGTCCTGCTGTCTCAGTCTGTTGATGTAGTCTGTCTCAGTCTGATGATGTCATGCAGCAGGTCAGGGAAGACAGAGCTGCATCAAGCTGTATTTCTGTTCAGTAGCAGCGTCTCAAATCTCAGTGGTCTAGAAATTGACATTTAACTGGCTATGGTCTGTGAAGGGAAATTGATTATGATGGTTTGACATCCTGGTGCACCACTTTAGACCTGCAGCCATTCATTCATCACCATTATCTGGTCTAAGGCACTGCATCCCAGTGCTTGAGGCGTCAATACAGACCGAGTGGTGCAGCGGTCTAAGGCACTGCATCCCAGTGCTTGAGGCGTCACTACAGACCCCCTGGTTCGATTCCAGGCTGTATCACAACCGGCCGTGATTGGGAGTCTCATAGGGCGGGGCACAATTGGCCCAGCGTCCTCCGGGTTTGGCCGGTGTAGGCCGTCATTGTAAATAAGAATTTGTTCTTAACTGACTTGCCTAGTTAAATAAAGGTAAAATAAAAAATTTAACATCTGGAAGTGGTGTGGAAGCTGCTGGAAGGGCTAACTAACTCTCTCTGTGGCAGGTAGATGGAAAAAAACCTTTTAATATCATTATTTCATAATGCATTTAATGTTAAAATTAATCAAAATTGACAACCGTAGTTTATTTTTTATAACCAAACCGATCTCAAAAAGCACTAATTGCTCAGCACTAGTAAGCACGTATTCTTCCCAGCATTCATACTAGATACCTATAAAGCATGGGTCTCCAACAGGTCTATAGCGATCTACCTATAGCTTGCAGCCCACCTATTGAGTAGCTCGCCAAACAATTGTGAAAGTACATGCAATTTTCATGTGTTCCACCGCAAACTGTCATAAACAAATGTCACTAGTATCCGACACCGCAAGCTCCCAGCTACTATCTAATCAAGGCAACATTAACATTATCCCACCCCTTGTTAGCCACTATTGGCTCAAAAAGTTAAACCTAACACAATATCTGCCAATTAATTTCCAGCAATATTGCCCCGTTTGTCTGTGTGGTGCGCGCATTTGTCTATCACTCCGTGTGTAGCCAGTAGGACTGTCCCCGACCCCAAAAAAATTTGATGGTTTTTATATACACATTTTCGTGGAACAGTTTAATTTCATTTATAATAGTCTTCATATCTCAAAATCAATGTCATGTGGTTAATCCAAATTATATCTAAATGAAAATGATACAAATCTAAAAGTAACTTCTATTGCCATTATGTAAAAAGTTAACATAAAGCCAACAAATAGCAACATTGCAGCCCGCAGGTAGAAAATATCCTTAAATTAATAAATATACTTTAAATCACATTAGCTACACATGGCCTGTCTGCAACGAACTTGAAACATTGTATTAACTTGGGTCCGGCCCGAAGCAGCTCATGCTAGCAGTTTCCTGGGCCCTCAGCCTTCAGTTTCCCGCGCCAGTGAGCTCTGGACAGACAGACACAGCTGTAGGCTATTTGTGCAAGGGATAAGAAGTAATCAGGTATTTTCTGACGTTTCCACCCGGATCAGAGCATGACATTTATTTTCCCCTTTCATGCTGAGTGGTTATCGAAAGGGAGAGAGCTGGAAAGATTTTTCAAATATGCTACGTTGACAAACTATTGCCATTCTCAATGGATGTAAAAACAAACTTAGTTTACTTGCTGTTTGAGGCGAATAAACAATACTTTGAGAAGCTCCACAGTGATGGTGAGTTAAGACAATCAGAAATAGTATCAGATCCCCAAATGGGCACATTTATAGGCCTACATTTAGCAGGCCAGGTAGCCCAGGCCTACTTCTATGCATAATCAGGTGCGTGTCCTTACTCAAGATTGACAGGAGCCAAACAAAAGACAATTAATAAATTGACAACTTGTAAAAAATATATATATATATATATATATATATATATATATTTTTTTTTTTAGTCATTTAGCAGACGCTCTTATCCAGAGCGACTTACAGGAGCAATTAGGGTTAAGTGCCTTGCTCAAGGGCACATCGACAGATTTTTCACCTAGTCGGCTCGGGGATTAGAACCAGCGACATTTCGGTTACTGGCACAACGCTCTTAACCACTAAGCTACCTGCCGCCCATGGAATGAAATAAACCAAAACGTATTTTCTCACAAGTGTAGCCAAGGTTGTTTCGCTCTGCGAACAGTGTCCACTCCTACAATGACAACAGTAAGACTGTAATAATAATCTATTGAATGCATTAACAGAAATGACCGTAACCAAACAAACATTGTAGATGATAAATGACGGTAATTACTGGTAAATGTACTACTGGGGATACTGGTGTGCCACCCCCGCAGCCTCCACAATGGACTAGTCCACTCAGACAGGCCAAAATCAGACAGGTGTGAATCAGACAGGTGTCTGGATTAGTCCACTGAGACAGGTGTGAATCAGACAGGTGTCTGGATTAGTCCACTCAGACAGGTGTGAATCAGACAGGTGTCTGGATTAGTCCACTGAGACAGGTGAATCAGACAGGTGTCTGGATTAGTCCACTCAGACAGGTGTGAATCAGACAGGTGTCTGGATTAGTCCACTGAGACAGGTGTGAATCAGACAGGTGTCTGTATTAGTCCACTCAGACAGGTGTGAATCAGACAGGTGTGAATCAGACAGGTGTCTGGATTAGTCCACTGAGACAGGTGAATCAGACAGGTGTCTGGATTAGTCCACTGAGACAGGCCTGAATCAGACAGGTGTCTGGATTAGTCCACTCAGACAGGTGTGAAGCAGACAGGTGTGAATCAGACAGGTGTCTGGATTAGTCCACTGAGACAGGTGAATCAGACAGGTGTCTGGATTAGTCCACTCAGACAGGTGTGAATCAGACAGGTGTGAATCAGACAGGTGTCTGGATTAGTCCACTGAGACAGTGTGAATCAGACAGGTGTCTGGATTAGTCCACTGAGACAGGTGAATCAGACAGGTGTCTGGATTAGTCCACTGAGACAGGTGTGAATCAGACAGGTGTCTGGAATTAGTCCACTCAGACAGGTGTGAATCAGGGACAGGTGTGAAATCAGACAGTGTCGGATTAGTCTACTCATACCGGTGTGAACATACAGGTGTCTGGATTTTAGTCCATGAGACAGGTGAAGAAGACAGGTGTCTGGATTAGTCCACTGAGACAGGTGTTGAATCCGACAGTGTCGGATTAGTCCACTTCAGACAGGTGGAATCAGACAGTGTCTGGATTAGTCCACTGAGACAGGTGTGGAATCAGACAGGTGTGAATCAGGGGACAGTTGTCGGATTAGCATCAGACAGACCTGAATGGACCGGTGTCCGGATTTAGTCCACTGAGACAGGTGAAATTAGGGAAATTAGTCCACGGAACGGATGTGTGAATCAGACAGGTGTCTGGATTAGTCCACTGAGCCATGTTTGAAATCAGTAGGTGTCTGGATTAGTCCACTGAGACAGGTGTCTGGATTAGTCCACTCAGACAGGTGTGAATCAGACAGGTGTCTGGATTAGTCCACTCAGACAGACCTGAATCAGACAGGTGTCTGGATTAGTCCACTGAGACGGTGTGAATCAGATAGGGGTCTGGATTAGTCCACTGAGACAGGTGAATCAGACAGGTGTCTGGATTAGTCCACTGAGACAGGTGTGAATCAGACAGGTGTGCATCAGACAGGTGTCTGGATTAGTCCACTGAGACAGGTGAATCAGACAGGTGTCTGGATTAGTCCACTGAGACAGGTGTGAATCAGACAGGTGTGCATCAGACAGGTGTCTGGATTAGTCCACTGAGACAGGTGAATCAGACAGGTGTCTGGATTAGTCCACTGAGACAGGTGAATCAGACAGGTGTCTGGATTAGTCCACTGAGACAGGTGAATCAGACAGGTGTCTGGATTAGTCCACTGAGACGGTGTGAATCAGACAGGTGTCTGGATTAGTCCACTGAGACAGGTGTGAATCAGACAGGTGTCTGGATTAGTCCACTGAGACAGGTGTGAATCAGACAGGTGTCTGGATTAGTCCACTGAGACAGGTGAATCAGATAGGTGTCTGGATTAGTCCACTGAGACAGGTGAATCAGATAGGTGTCTGGATTAGTCCACTGAGACGGTGTGAATCAGACAGGTGTCTGGATTAGTCCACTGAGACGGTGTGAATCAGATAGGTGTCTGGATTAGTCCACTGAGACAGGTGTGAATCAGACAGGTGTGCATCAGACAGGTGTCTGGATTAGTCCACTGAGACAGGTGAATCAGACAGGTGTCTGGATTAGTCCACTGAGACAGGTGAATCAGACAGGTGTCTGGATTAGTCCACTGAGACAGGTGAATCAGACAGGTGTCTGGATTAGTCCACTGAGACGGTGTGAATCAGACAGGTGTCTGGATTAGTCCACTGAGACAGGTGTGAATCAGACAGGTGTCTGGATTAGTCCACTGAGACAGGTGTGAATCAGACAGGTGTCTGGATTAGTCCACTGAGACAGGTGAATCAGATAGGTGTCTGGATTAGTCCACTGAGACAGGTGAATCAGATAGGTGTCTGGATTAGTCCACTGAGACGGTGTGAATCAGACAGGTGTCTGGATTAGTCCACTGAGACAGGTGAATCAGATAGGTGTCTGGATTAGTCCACTGAGACGGTGTGAATCAGACAGGTGTCTGGATTAGTCCACTGAGACGGTGTGAATCAGATAGGTGTCTGGATTAGTCCACTCAGACAGGTGTGAATCAGACAGGTGTCTGGATTAGTCCACTGAGACAGGTGAATAAGACAGGTGTCTGGATTAGTCCACTGAGACAGGTGTGAATCAGACAGGTGTCTGGATTAGTCCACTCAGACAGGTGTGAATCAGACAGGTGTCTGGATTAGTCCACTGAGACAGGTGTGAATCAGACAGGTGTGAATCAGACAGGTGTCTGGATTAGTCCACTGAGACA